AATAGCATTCCTCTACACAGATAACAAACACACTGAGTGGGAAATTACAGAAACAATACCTTTTACAATAGCACCGAGGAAAATGAAATACCTTGGAATTAATCTAACTAAAAAAGTCAAAGATCTTTTCAAGGAAAATTACAGTACTCTGAAAAAAGAGATTGTAGAGGATTTCAGAAAATGGAAAGATATTCCATGCTCCTGGATAGGAAGAACCAACATTGAGAAGATGGCCATACTCCCAAAATTGCTATATAGATTTAGTGCAATCCCTATCAAACTACCACCAACATACCTCACAGACCTAGAGAAATCGTTCCTAAAATTTATTTGGAACCAGAAAAGACCTAGAATAGCAAAGGCAATCCTGGGCAATAAAGACAAGGCAGGAGGCATTACAATTCCTGACTTGAAATTATACTACAAGGCTACTGTGATAAAATCAGCATGGTATTGGCAACCAAAAAGACTGAGGATCAATGGAATAGATTAGAAGATGCTGAAACTCCTATGAACACACTCAGCCACCTTATCTTTGACAAAGGGGCCAAACATACTCACTGGAAAAAAGATAGCCTCTTCAACAAATGGAGCCGGAAAAACTGGCTCTCTACATGCTAAAAACTAAAACTTGATCCAGGTCTATCACCATGCACTAAGCTAAAGTCAAAATGGATTAAAGATCTAAACATTAAAACAGATATACTAAATCTCCTGGAAGAGAAAGTAGGAGGAACTCTTGAAGACATAGAGGTAGGCAAAGAGTTCATGAACAAAAATAAAATCGCACGGGAAACACTAGAAAGAATTAACAACTGGAACCTGCTCTTATTGAGAAGTTTTTGCAGGTCAAAAGAAATTACCAACAAAGTGAAAAGACAACCTCCAGCAGTGGAGAAGGGTTCCTTTTTCTCCACAGTCTCTCCAACATTTGTTATCAGTTGATTTCTTTATGATAGCCATTTGGAAAAAATCAAGACAAATAAGTACTCCAACAAAGGTCTGCTCTCTAGAATTTATAAAGAACTAAAAAACACTAGGGCCCCAAAATTTAAAGACCCAGTCCAGAAATGGGCATCTGATATGAACACACACTTCTCAGAGGATGAAATTAAAGAAGTGAATAAATATATGAAAAAATGCTCCACATCACTAGCCATCCGTAAAATGCAAATTAAAACAACACTGAGATATCATCTATCATCTCACCCCAAAAAGAATGGCTATCATAAAGAAATCAACCGACAACAAATGTTGGAGAAGCTGTGGAGAAAAAGGAACCCTTCTCCACTGCTGGAGGGAATGTAGACTGGTACAACTGTCATGAAAATCAGTGTGGAGACTCCTTAGAAAACTCTGACTGGAAATCCCCTTTAAACCAGCTATTCTTCTACTGGGAACTTTCCCAGAGGATCTGAAAACATCATATCATAGGGATATATGTGTGCCCATGTTTATAGCAGCACAATTAGTGATAGCCAAATCTTGGAAACAACCAAGATGCCCATCACCTGAGGAATGGATGGAAAATATGTGGTATTTTTATACAATGGAGTATTACTCAGCTATAAAGAATGATAAACTCGAAGTCTTTATATTGAAGTGGATGCCACTTGAAGATATACTCATAAGTGAAATAAACCAGAAACACATGTGTAAATATTGTATAGTTTCCCTAGTATAAGAATTCAAAGAAGAAATAAAAATAGAAAGGTGTAATACAACTAAAAGGAAAGCAAGAACTTGAGGACTAGACAATAAAAAGAGAACCAGGAGAAGAGCTAGAAAACATGACAGTGACAAGCTATACAGTTATATGTAGAAAATGGGTAAGGCAATGATCCTGAGAATCTTCAGAAGATTTTTTAATCTAGCAGTTAATTGGAAGGATTCTCACCCTAACTATATGTACAGACACCTGTGAACTAAGCAACTGCATTGAAGATGGCAATTTGTAATAGTAGATTCATGCTTGGAGTGCCTGTCATTCTGGTCTTCTGAATACAGGCTGCTTGTCATGACATGCCAGTTGCTGCTGTGCTGTCTCTCGGGTAGATGACTGTTAAAAAGAAGGGGGTGATGAATGAAGGCAGGAGACAAGAAAAGGAATGTTGTGGGACTGTCCTGCTACAAGGTTGTATATGGTTAGATTTCTGGACTTATGTGTAAACATAAGAATTATATAATTCTTTATGCCTATTTTTAAAATATATTTTAATTTTTAAATGTTTTTTCATCATATTCTGTTGGGACTTAAAGTTCATCATATCAATACCTGAGGAAAAATACCTGTTCCTTGTTATGCCTAACATGTTTAATATTCAGACAGATAGTGAGGTTAAGCTTAACAGCCTAGGTTGTATGGTAATAACAATAAGCTTCTCTTCTGGAGGGTTAACAACCTAAGTTTGCAGATCAAAATTAGAGAAAAAGGAGGGCCGCAAGGAAAGCCAACATTTTGGCCCTAGCCTTCCAAGGTCAATTAAGACTCAGGACATATGAGAACTTGTACTGTAATGTTATGTAACTCTGTAGTGTCCCAAATTTTCTGATCAAGGAGATTATGGGGCCAAAGAGGAAAGTGATCGATGATGTAGAGTGTGCCTAAGGAGAGTCACATGGAGAGAAAACATTCTCTCAGGCTTTCACAGAGAGCACATCGGCCAAGCAATGGCCATGACTCATCCACATGGCTGACACTGACAAAGGATCTACAATCTGAGGTACAGGATCTCAGGATAAATCCTGAGGGGATCTGACTGACCTTATGAGATCCAAAAGCTACAACATTTGTTGTATAGGTCTTGCTTTATCTTGGTCTTAACCATCCAGCAAAAAAGTATAAAAACAAAGTATAAGAAGTAAAGCCATGCTGTTATGTTGAGCTGTAGGGGACTCTTGTTCAAAAATTTCTGACACTGCCAGTCAAGCGGAAGACCCAATACTATTATGGACTACTGGACTCTTTAAGAATATTTTGCTGAGTTAACACACCTATAATATTCAAATGACAGAACTAAAAAAAAAAAAGGGGATACAGATGAATGCCCATTTTGTATCTGTGTATTCAAAATCATTAGGATAGATATATAGTTACATTCTCTTAATGAATAGAGGGATTTGTTCTAAAAGTATTTGTAAATAGGATATCATGTCTGCATCTGGCACAACAAATAATCACTAGGAAAAGAGTATGCAATGTGTTAATTATTGGAACTGTCCTATCAATTTGATTTGAAACTGTCTCATTGCTATTTGTTTCTCAATAAAATTATGGGAAAAAATTAAAAATTAAAAAGAGAATACTACAAGTAAGAATGGGCACGTGTATGTAGGGCCACAGATCCCCATAGGAGTCAGTGCTCCCCACAATCACTGTAGCCTCAGCCCATCACTCCTGGATCTACAGGGTCCATACCACCCCTATCGCACTCCTGGAGTGATGTTCCCACAACCATGCTCCTAGAATGTGTCCTCTTCAGGCTGCGCTGGGCAACTCCTTACGCACAAAGCCCTCTTCTCTCACACACCTTCTGCAGGTTTTCAAAACACTGAAAACCACAGTGAGATATTCTTTTACTCCTATCAATCAGCAAATGTTTAAACATACCATCAATCCCAACATCAAGAGAAGGAACATTGTGTGGTACACTACTACAGAACACATCCTGTATGATCTAGCAGCACTGTGATGCACCCTGCCAACAAGTCAGAAATTTCACTTCTTCCACAGCCTCCATGTGTGCCAAAGGAATGCATGATAATTTTTACAGTGCACTATTGTTATAACAAAGAAGTAGTTGGAAACAAATCAAGCTTTCATTTAAGGGAGAATGGTTAAATGAGTTGCATATTAGTCATAAAACATCCTCACAATGGCTAAAAAAGAATGCACTTGGGAGAAAATGAATAAAACAGAGCAACGTGAATGGAAAAGCAAGTTAGCCAGGCATATAGTTCAGTGGCCAAAGTGCCTGCCTGGCAAACTCAAGGGCCTGAGTTTGATGCCTGGTACCAAAAGAAAAGAAAAAGCAAGTTGCACAGCAAGACTTATGAGCATGTAATTCCATTTCTATAAAATCAGAACATCAAACTAAATAATAGTAACTATAAAGAAAGCAAGGGAATGAAATGAAAGTCAAGACAATAGTTATCTGCAGCGGGGAGATAGAATGTGACCAGCAAAGAACCCAAAGGAGACCTCAGTGTGTGCGAGAGAGAAGGGCAGCGAGGAACAGGGAGAACTTTCTAAGCATAAACACTCCATAATAAAACTGTCCAATGGAACACAAAATTTGCATATACACTGAATTATAAAGACTTAAGATACTCTGAAGGTCAGAGTTTAAGGACTTGTCAACAGTCACCCATTAGTCCAAAGATTCTGAACTTAAGTTGCTTGCCCTGACTCAAAATTAATCATTCTTTCTAGTTAGAGAATCAAACAGCTCAGCTAACTTATAAAATACATGTACACTTCATCCTCAAAGCAAAAGGGCAGAGGTTTTCTGGGAGTAGAAAATGCCAAAGCTCCTGGTCAACCTCAGGGATGAAGGCCCTGATGGAAGCTGAAGCGCTGTGGAGGAGACATGGGGGGAAGGGAGGACAATCAGACAGATAGCAGGGCACCAGCCTGCAAGGAAGGAAGGAGATATGCCTCCTGTGGCCTCCCATGAGCTCTAAGACAAAGGTAAGCTCAGTACTATTACACCCATTTGACCAAGGAGGAGAAATTCATGAGCAAGCAGGAGAAATTCCTTAACCAAGAGCCCAGCTCCCCACTGGGCTCAGAGAAGACCAATCAGTCAGGAAAAGGCACGTGAAAGATCAGAAAAAGGCCACTGCAATGTTACAGGTCTTCACCGTGACTACATACAGGAATGTGGAATGAAGAGGTTAACAATAAAATCAGAATGGGCAGGCTCTTCTCTCTGAATCTGTGCCAAGGTTTCTGAACCCAGCCGGGAATCCACTAAGGCTGAGCACAAATGGTTGCTTACCTGTGAGCAGGGTGGTAAATCACAGTACTGATTCCATGAGGATAATGACCACCGAAGTTGAAAATGTGACTCTCCTGGTAGCTCTGGTTTGTTCCAACACTAAATTTAAGGAGGTAAATAAGAAATAAATATCACTAAACTACAACAAATATCGTTACGTGTCTAATACAATGTCTAGAAAATAGAGAAGACAGGTAATGTCAAGCACTGAAGATATAAAACAACCAGAACCCTGACTTACTACAGTGGGAATGTGACTGACAGATACAATTATGTTGGTTAAAAGTCTGGCTGTTTCTTATAAAAATAAACTGTATCTCTACCTTCTGATTCAGCAATGCCACTGGAAGGAAACCATCTAGAGGAATAACAATATACAATCATACTTATACAAGGATAGTCATAGTCGCTATATTACACCAGCTCTGCACTAGAAACATGGGAGTCTACCAATACAGAAATGGATAAGCAAGCTACATGACGCTTGTGTTTCTACATTCAAACACCTAGACATCTGTCTGTAGTATTCATGAAATACTATTGGTAAAACAGGAATAAACTACTGCATGATGTAAGATATGGTTAAATCTCAAATATTATGCTGAATTAAGGGAGATCTAGATGAAAGGTCCACATACACAATTCCGTTAATGTGAATTATCAGGATAGACAAAATTCATCTTGACTTTTGTTTTGTTTTATTTTTAATTTGACGGAACCGGGGATTGAACTCAGGCCCCTGCGCTTGCCAGGGAAGCGCTTATTCCACTGAGCCATCTCCCTGGCTCCCTCATCTTGACTTTTAAGCTAGCTTTTTAAACAGCAGCTGTCCTGGGGGGAGGATATGGATGTGGACAGACACTCTGGGAGGGAGATGATGGAACTTCCTAGGTGGTGGGAACATCCAGAATCTCACAGAGGTTTGAGCTGAACAAATGTACACACCAATTCCAACTCACAATGGTACAACTAAGATTTTGCAGGAGAGAAATTTTACTGGAAAGAAACTAATCAAACACTGAGCCCTAATTAATGATATGCATGCAAATCTAAGTGCTGATATCTCTGGCTTACTCTGAAGTATGTAGAAAACACACTAAGGTGATGGAAAGATGAATACATAGTAAAAATGCAGTAGATAAGCACAGTGAAATCCTAATCACAGAACCCAACTGTTTTTTTGTTTTTTTTTTTTTTTTTTTTTTGCAGAACCAGGGATTGAACTCAAGCCCTTGCACTTGCCAGGGAAGCGCTTATTCCACTGAGCCATCTCCCCGGCCCCCCCAACTGGAAATATATGGGTGTTCACTATGCAATTCTTTCAACTTTCCAATTATATTTCCAATATTTCATAATAATATTCCAGAGAACATAAAGCAGTATCAGTATATGATGTGCAAGCACAGAAACAACATTATATAGACTACGACTTCCCAAAGCGCCTTTTACCTGACGAGGTAACTTCTGAGTTCTCCTCGGTAATTGATGACCAAGAGTTCTGCTGACCACTGTGCACTGGCTTTGTATTCTAAAAATATCAATCCAGCGATGGCACAGCTCAAATCACCAGCTAAACTAGAAGCCTGCAGAAGAGAAGGAACTGAATTACTCAGGCAACACAACAATATATAACCTTGAATGACACATTCAGGTAGATAGAGAAGTACAGTTTTATTCAAACCATGTATCCGCTGTAAAACAACAGAAAACCTTACCATTCAGCCTTAGAAAACTAAGAGTGGTGCTCGCTCTCGCTCTCTCGCTCTCTCTCCACCCCCTTCTCTCTCTTGGTACAGGCAATCGAACTTAGGACCCTGCACTTGCCAAGCAGGCACTATCCACTGAGCTGTATCCCCATCTCTAAGCATGGCTTTCAAGTGTTAACATCCACTAAGCCAAAAAGCTCCAACTGCCGTTTGCCTCATCAGGTGCTGAGGACATGAAGATGAGAGATCTGCAGCGATGCTCACCTACCAATCAGGGCCTCCAAGCCTCCAGTCTTTGCCCTAAACCCACAGTCACCTTAGATACCGGAGACAAAACTGAAGCTGCCCAAGAGGAACAGTCACCTCAGGAGCCCGGACTGACAGTGTCTTCCCAGGAGGCACCTGGTACTACAGGACTCAGGTTGTGACAGCCAGACCCCAGCCCACCAGGTAGCCCCTGGAAGCCAGTTCAATCCTCTGCTCACAGGTCAGTCTGAGTCTTTCCCACACACTGCTCCAGATGAGACCTCCAGGATGAGGAACAGGGCTCCAGCTCCCCTTTCCAGAGATCTCCTCAGAACCTACTCAGTAGCCACGGAACTTCTGTAACCTAAGCCCACGATACTTTTTCCAGGATTTTCCACTAATTTTCATTCTCTGACTGAAAACTACTCTCAGAATTACTGGTTCTCAGTGCTGAACTTACTAGAACACACAAAAAGTGTGCAAACACCATGAACCTCCAAGTCCTACACAGATCAATTAGGCAGAACCTCTGTGGTGAGCCCGGGAAAACCAGGCACTAATCTGGGTCCAAGTTTTGCTTTTTCTTTCCTCCAGGAAGCCCCCAGGAGATGCTGAGACACAGCCAGAGTAGAGCCGCTGTTCTACCCACTGCTGGGTTCACATGAAGGAGGACAGTCATTGAACAGCACAGAATTCCTAGAAGGGACCCAGCCAGCCAGGCGATCATGGGACCGTCACTTTGCTCCTCCCAATTTGCTTCCTAAACTGTAAAATCAGATGCCAATCCACCCTTAGGACTGCTGTGAATATTAAATGAGAACTCAAGTACAATGATTATAAGGTAGGGCTGGGGAGATGGCTTAGTAGAATAAGTGCTTCCCTAGCAAGCGCAAGGGCCCAAGTTCAATCCCCACTTCTGCCAAAAAAAAGGAAAAGTATCTTTTTGGGGCCGGGGAGATGGCTCAGTGGAATAAGCGTTTCCCTAGCAAGCGCAAGGGCCTGAGTTCAACCCCCAGTTCTGCCAAAAAACAAAGCAAAACAAAACAAAATCATTAATAAGGTGTAAAGCTGAACACAATTACAAGTATGACAACCATTCTTTTTTCCACTTTCTCTTTCAATGTCTGTTCCATTAAAGTAATAAATTCAAACTCCTAGAAGTTGTTCCTAAAAAAAAAAACAAAAAAAGAAGTTGTTCCTGCTACTATACTTTCATTTATGGAACTTTATAAGAACATCTTATGCCATAATAAAACCATGAGTTGTCCTAAAATTACTCAAAAGAGCCTGAAAAGGAAGAACTGGGAGAGAGAGGGTGTCACTCAGCAGAGAAGGCAAAAAACAACCAAAAAGATGGCCAACATTGAAATCCTGGGACTGGGGAGATAGCTCAGTGACATAAGTGCCTGCCTAGTAAGGGTAAGGTCCTGAATTTGATCCCCAGTATCACAAAAAACAAACAAAACAAAATGCTGAAATCCTGACTTAAACCCCACCAGGCGGGCTGTCTGAACACCAAGGCCACCCAGCCAGAAGTGAGTGCCCCTTAGACCCATCTGAGCCTGTCTCCAGCCTGCCCAGACTCACCTTATTCTACTCTTGCTCTGTACAGTGATACAGGGGGAAAAAATGGTACTGTTCTTCTCCAACATTCATATAGGCACTCACTTAGGCACCTTTATTCTTTGAGTGGCCTCTGATGGTTCAGTAAAGCCTCCAGTTTCAGACACACCTCCTCTCCAGGGTTGGGTTTAATGGCTGCTAGTCAGAAGGTTTACATGTACACAGCATATTACAGAATACAAAACAAAGTACCACACAGACATAGCTCTCTGACTAGATTTTGAGAGTCTAATTTCATAGTTCACTATTCTAAGTTATACTTGTCTTTACTCTGCACATTCCTCCACTGAAGCATCTATGCAAAGATGGCTCACACCCTCCCAAAAAGTCATCAGTCGGCAGCAGGTCATACCGGGACAATGACAAAGAGCTCGCTTCCCATGAGGTCGAACACCCGCACGGTGCCAGTGCTCTCCGCATAGGCCAACAGTGTGCAATCATAGCTCCAAGCTACCCGCCTCCACTGGGGCTTGGGATCCTTTGGAACTAGAAAGAGAAGAAAAGAGGTGCTCTTATTCCATGATGTTATACAAGTCGTTAACACTTTTAGTGTTAACTTTTTAGTATTAAAGTAAGCACGTCACACCACTCCAGCAGCTGCCTAAAACCATTCAGCAGCAAAGCACAGCAATAAGATGTGCCCTCGCCAGGCAAGGGACGGTACACGGCAAAGTGCTTAGGAAACAGACACCAGAAAGAAGCCAACAGACTGGGTAGAAAATAACTCCAATCCAATGAGTTCAGCACCTTTAACTCTAAAAAATGGTAAGTTCAACTGAGACCTGTTAAATGTATTAAATGCCAGTGCTAGCACAGAATGAGAAGGAGAGAAAGCAGAAGGGAGGAGAGGCGTAGAAGCAGACAAATCTAGACCTGTTCTTAGTCAATCACACAGTCATTAGACTTCGATAATCAATATACTAATCCAGCACCTCGATTCTTTCCTATTTTGAATTTTTCAGTACAATAGAAAGGCTGCCAGCTATTAGAAAAGAAAAAGGAGAACTGAGAAACTCCAAACTGTTACATTTAAAGTTTTTATTGGTTATTTTCTTTGTTCCTATTTCCTGTTATCAGAAGCTCAAGAATAAAGAAATAGGTAGCGGAACAAGTGGCCTCTCTCCCAATTCTTTTTTTTTTTTAAATTAATTAATTATTTGGTACAGGGTCTCACTACATAGCTCCAACTCATAGTTATCCTCCTATCTGAGCCTTCCCAGCTCTGGGATTACAGACATGCACCACCACATCCAGTTTTGGGACCAGCATTGGTGTGTCCTGTGTACCGGGGCCAGCATGGCATGTGGTACTGGGAATCAAACCTGGGCATGTGGTACCAGGGATTGAACCCAGGTCCTTGCACTTGCCAGGCAGGCGCTTAGAGCACTGAGCTCTAATCTCTGGCCTCATCTCCCAATTCTTTAATTTGTGCGTTCACCATGTTTCTCTCAAACTTTCTTGGTCACACATGTACAAAAACACACAAGTATGTAAATAAGCAATAAAAACATGATGCTGTGACCTATTCCACTATATTTATACATGTGGCATAGGTAACTCCTGGCTCTTCCCAATGTCAACATCACCACAAAAGGGGAACACCTTGAATTCATTCAGGACATCAAGGGAGCAACAACAGCGCAACTAAAGCCAGAGGAGGATTTCCAGAGCTGCTTCAGAAAGATGCAAGAGTTGGGACAGGGGCGATCGCTCAGCGGTCTAAGCACCTGCCTGGCAAGCGCAAGGACCCAGGTTTGATCCCCAGTACCACATGCTGTGCTGGCCCTGGAACCCCGGGCTAGCTGTGCTGGCACTGAAACCCAGCATGGTGACACACACCTGTAATCAAAGTGCTGGGGAGGCTCAGACAGGAGGCTCACTACAAGTCTTAGTTGTGTAGTGATACTAATTCCAAATAAATAAATAAATAAATTATTTTTAAAAATTTAAAGATTGATTCAAGAGCAATGAGATGTGTTCAAAGCAGGGAGCAGCATGGGGTGGGTAATGGAATGACTTCTACTGCAACAATTTTTTAATTTCAGCATTCACTGTATGTTTTATCATAAATCTATAAGCACAAAGAATAAAACACCTCAAGAGCTGCAGAAAAGGCCTCTGATAAGATCCAAACTGCCCATGACAAGAGCACTGAGCAGAGTTGTCCCAGGGCTCGGTAGAATGCAGGCCACACACAATAACCCAACAGCTGCTCTGGGCTGCACAGCAAGAGGCTGAATGTTTTCTCTCAGAGCTATGAAACTAGACAAGGTCCCCACCTCTACCACTTCTATTCAACATGGTACCAGCAGTGGATTATCAGAAATTTAAACATAGAAAGCAACCCCACTACAATAGCTACAAAAAAATAATGAAATCTTTAGGAATAAATTTAATTTAAAAAATAAATAAATTTAAACAAAGAAAAGGCAAAAGACTTCTGCAGTGAAAACTACGATCTGTTTGCTTGTTTGTTTGTTTGTTGTGATAGGGTCTCACTGTAGCTCAGGCTAGCCTCTACTATGGATTTTGATGAAAGAAACTGAAGACGAAAGCAAAAAACAGAAAGACATTCTATATTCATGAGTTCGAAGAGGCAATATGGTTAAAAGTACCTGAACAATCAATAGATTCAATGTAATCCCTATCAAAATAATAATGATACTCTTTAGAACTAGAAAAAGAGTTTCTAAAATTTGTATGGAACAGTATTTTGTTGTTGTTGTTTTGTTTTTTGTTTTTTCATTTATGTATTTAGTACAGGGTCTCACTATGCAGCTCAGACTCACAGTGATCCTACTTTTTCAGCCTCCCCAGCACTGGGATTACAGGCATGTGCCACCACACCAGGACTCAGTGGCCAGCTCAGCACACCCAAGAGCAGGGCTGGTGCAGCATGTGGTGCCAGGGATTGAACCCCAGTCCCTGCGCTTGCCTAAGCAGGCCCTTTAGTGTGCTGAGCTATCTCACCGGCCCTTAAAGGAATCATAATTTCAAAACTCCTCTCAGACAAGGTCTCACTTGACACTGCCAGCCCAGACCTGGAGCGGAACGCATATCACGGTTCTCTCACACGTGAAGCTTCTGTCTCTCAAACACCTCTACCAACAGGGCATGGTAATAGAGCAGGTTAGCCATCACTCAAGAACTCCAGCTAGAACTGTCTCACAGACGTTCTCCCTCTACCTAATAATAAGGTGCTGGGAAGAATTTACACTCCATTTTCTTTCTGCACTATATATTCTCTACGAGAAAAGAACACCTGATATCATAAGTTTTTGCATTGTGACTATGATTATGCAAAAAATGTATTTCGAGAAGTGCTGGACATGGTGGTGCATGCCTGTAACTGCAGCATCAGAAGGCTGATGCAAGAGGATCCCTGGGTGTTCAAGGTCAGCCTAAACTGCACAGCAAGACTTATCTCAAAAAACAAAACAAAAGTATATTTTTAAAAATCCAAGAAAGGTCCTTGTTATTAAATCCAAACAAGATACTGCACACACTCTGTAAATGCCACTTTGTTTTGCATTTGCTTTTCTGAGACAGGGTCTTGCTAAGTAGTGCAGGCTGGCCTTTAACTCCCTATGTAGCCCAGGCTGGTCTGGAACCCTCAGCAATTCTCCTGCCTTAGTCTCCTAAGCACTGGAATTACACTGAGGAACAAAGATTTCTTGTCTTTTTTTATTGAAGTAAAAGGAAAAGAAAACCAGTTCCCTGTTTTTAAGACAGCTACAAAGAAAAATCAAATTTGGAAGCAGACAGACACAAAAATGGTAACACAGAATAAAACACCAATATACACACAACTACTACAAAAAAAAAAAAAAGCAAGAGGACAACCTTGCCCAGAAAACATTCGCGTGCTAACTGAACTCCACAAACGCATTTCTGCCGTCACTGTTCCCCTCATCTCATGTTGAGGGGATGGATGGATGGACGGATGGATGTGTTCTCTGTGGGAAATAAGCTCCTCAAAATGACTGCTTTTCACTGTAAGCTGCAGCTATGAACAGCTTCTTCACCACACTCAGTGTGTCCCCAATGAGACACATTTTCATTACAAGACAAGACTTCAGTTGCCACCTGGAAAAAGCCTTTGTCCATGGATTTTTCCAGCCATTTTTGTGGTTCTGGAAAACAATGTACAGTGCAGGTTTTAGAAATCGAATGTCAACAGCACTGTTTGAAAAGTGTTCCTAGCTAGCACGAAGCAAAAATCTCCAAGTGCGTGCACACACAATCTCTAGGACTGCAGCAGTGCTTCTGTGGGAGAGCACTCACCTAGCATGCAAGAGACAGCTCTGCAGTCTAAGCACCTGCCCAGGCAAGCCCAAGGACCCCATTCAATTGTCCTGCTATGGGCACCCCAAGCCAGCCAAAACTGGGTGTGGTAGTGCATGCCTATAATCCCAGAACTGGGGAAGCTGAAATAGGAGGATCACTACAAATCCAAGCTGTGTAGGGAAACTCTGTACCAAATACATAAAAATTAAAAATAAATAAAGTAAATAAATAAAAATTTTAAAAATGTGGTAGTGAAAGATACACTACCATTATCTCCCTGAAAATCCTTCCCACAGTTCAAACACACTCATCCCATAGTCCTTGCCGCTCTGTACAGCAGCTCTGAGAATCTTTCCAGATGTGATGAAAAATACAAAATGCTTCTGCCGAGTGCCATCCACAGGAAACATACGTGACGCTGTGTCCTCACCCACCTCAGTCACCAGATCTGGCTCTATGCAACTGCTGGCTCTTTCCCAAAGCCAAAATGACCATGAAACATTTTGAATCCACTCAGGACAGTGAGGCAGCCAAGACAGAACAGCTGAAGACCCTTAGGAAAGAGGACTCTAGAGCTCCCACAGAAAGGCACAAGGAAGGCGGGATAAGTATGATTAAAGCACAAAGAAATATTCTGATGGAGATTAATGACAATGCAGCTTTTATTGTAAGCATTCACTGTATTTTTATCACACTTCATATTACACACTAAATAAATTTTTACTAAATATATCAAAGAACTATCAATCCCAGATGTATTTATTAGTCTATATCTGGCCAACCTTGACTTATCACTAAATCCAAAGTAAAACACTACATATACTTACAAATACTTTATCCCCAAACTTACTTGGATGTTTTAAAAAATTTAAATTTAAAATCCACCCAATATGCAAAATATTCAAGGAATTAAGAAAAATTACAATTTTTAAAACTTTCATTAAACAGCCATAATAATAATAAACAAATATTTATTTAATATTTATTCTAATTTAATAAATATTATAAAACATTAAAATTTGAAATTTCCTTTTTTTTTTCAAAATTTGAAATATCTTGGAAACCCTTACCTTGACATTTCCCAATAATAGATGTAAAATCATCTTTAGCAGACCTAAAAAATATATGCAAAATCAAGACAACAGTTTTACACTAATAACTATGGTGGATATGTGAGGCACGACAAGCCAGGCATGGTGACGCAGGCCTATAATCCCAACCCTCTGAGAGGCTCAGACTGAACAACTGCAAGTTCGAGTTCACCCTGGGAAACTTAGCAAGATCTATCTTAATATTTAAAAAAAAAAAAAGGGCTAGGGAGATGGCTCAGTAGAATAAGCGCTTTCCTGGCAAGTGTAAGGGCCTGAGTTCAATCCCTAGTTCCACCAAAAACAAATAAAATAAGGAAGAAGAAAAAATTTTAAAGGGGTTGAGGGGTGTATAAAGGCCCTGGGTTCAATCCTCAGCACCACAAAAAAGACAATACAAATCTTGTAGACTATGCAGCTTTTCTACATGATAATAAACACCAAATGAGAGCCTGGCATACACCCTTGTAATCCCAGCACTCAGGAGGCTGAGGCAGGAGATCACTGCGAGTTCAAACCAGTCTGAGCTACAAAGTGAGCTCCAGGCCAGCCTGAACTGCACAGTCTCAAAAAGACCAAGACCAGTAAGAAAGAAAACATCATCCACAAGGTGGTGCTTCATGCTACACAAGAGTAAGTGATTTAGTAGTCAAATCATTTTAAATACACTGCCTTTGAAAAAATTTGAAACTTAGTTCGTAGCCATGAAGAAGTTTTCCTCAAGGAAACCGTTCCACATGAGCAGTGTCAGCAGCTACCTGATCTCCACACACTGGTCCTGAACAGCGGCCAGCAGCTTCCCGTTGCTTTCACAGGGAAGAAAGAACAGAAAAATCCAGAGTAAATATCTGAACTGCAAACCCCACACTAATAGCTACTCATTTGGTATCTTCCATACAGATTAAATTATTTTTGAAAGTTAAAATAATTTTAACAATTTTTAGCTTTAATTATGTTTTTTTTTTAAGGATCACACATTTCCTTATGTTACTGCTGAACTAACATTATGTTGACATATGGCTGATTTTACATTTACATATTTGTTACCAACATATCTTACAAAAAGCATCTCTGGAATTTTTCTCTGAGGCAAGACATGGCATATGAAATTATTTTATTAACCACAGGATGGAAATCATGTTGCCTAAGAAAACTGTCATCTTTCATCCTTGGCCTTCAGTGGCTGATACTGCATATTAGGGCCAACAGAACAGGCTCAGCAGATAGAGGCCTGAGCTCACACTCCACTCTGCCTCTTACTAGTTGGCAGTTATCTTTCAACCTTATAATTGGATGCCCATATAGGCAAAAAAAAAAAAAAAAGCATAAAAATGACTCAATGTACCTTGAATAAATATCTCTAGACAATACTGATCATAAGCAACCAAGAATTTAGATGGGCTAAAAGCCGAGCGTGAAAGTCTTAAAGGCCCCAAAATGAATGCCCATGATAAAAAGTAAAAGCCAACTCAGAAAGAAACACATGTGAATTTCACCCCTCCTTACCTTGCTAGTACCAAATGCCAGCTTATCTGTTTATTCACCAAGCGGACCAGACCATCAGGGAGTAAAAAAGGAGCAGGGCTGCAACCAATCAACACATTAGCTCACTTAAATCTAATCACAGAACCACAAACAAGTTAAGTAAATGTTATAAATAGCACATGTGCCTACAGGGAAAGACACAGATTTTTTTTTCTCATTAGAATAAAAAATATGAATATTAGCAAATCCCAAATCAAAAGTTACTAACATGATATCTGAAATCTTACCACAGACAGTTTTTTATTTCTGGAAAACATGACAGTGTGTTCAAAGGTATGTTACGTCCGTTCTGGAGAAAAAGACAGCTGGGGAAGAGCTCACATCTATAATCTTAGTCCTTGGGAGACTGAGGAAGGAGGATCATAAGTTTAAGACCAGCCTGGACAAGACCCTCTTTTAAAATAAAATGTTTAAAGAGAAATTTTTTAAAAGGCTGAAGATGCAGCTCAGTCACAGAGTGGGTGCTGAGCATGCACAAGGCCCTGGGTTCAACCCTCAGGGGTTGAATGAAGTTACCCAGGGCATGGATTATACAACAAAGAGCACTTTTACCTACAACCACATAAAATTCTGGTTTGACCCTAACTCTAGTTTGGAGTTAAACACACCAAAAACAGAGAAATTTCCAAGCATCAGTAATGAAAAGGTAACTGAAAGCTAGAACTGGGCAAGAGGAAAAATAATATCCACAAACAGGACTTGGGACACAAAAGAAAAGATGAGGAGCTGGGCAGAGAGGAAGGGCTGGCATGGGCCCTCGAGAGGACGGGAAACACCTCCCCGAAGCCAGAATGCCCAGGTGCACACCTGTGCAGGGCACTCTGGTCTGTGCAAGACAACATGAAATCTCCATTGAAAAAATCAAGTGCCCACAACTGTGCTACACAAAAGGGGAGGAGCAGGAGTCCTCACACCTAGGATGACCACCATCCACAAGACATGGGGAAGCATGCATGTACCACAAGCGAGGTACGACACACAAGGAATGTAAGGCCTGACACCTGAAGAGATCGAGAAAACAGATGGAAAAGAAGACTAAAGAAAATGACTGGGCAGTTACTCCTTTCCAGGCAGCCGCCATGGCTGGACAAGAGGATCCTATGCAGCGGAAGATTCACCAGGACTGGGTGAATCAGGAATACAGTGAGCTCATTACCAGCAGCATCAAGAAAACTGAGGACTTTTTCAACTTGTTCGGTATGTCCTGCTGTTCAATACTCAGAACCCTGAAGCAGAAGCTGACAGCGCTGGAGCAGAGGACAGAGTACACTGAAACACAGGTGACAAAAGGTAAGACTCTCACGCAGAGCTGGGCCACCTGCTGCTGGGATGTGCTTTACAGAACACAGGCCAGGAGAAGGCCCAGCAGCACAGCTCCTCCTCCTCCTCTCTGTCAAGAGCAACAGGGCGCTTTCTCGTTCTTCTTTCTCCAAAGCTCTAGGCTTTGCACTCTGCCATGTGTACCTGAGTGTGGTACGGCGTGGCACAGAGAGACATCCAGGAGTCTCCAGGAAACAGCTCAGGCATTTACCTTCCAGGAGGGCATGGAGTCACGCAGTGTGTGTCAGGTGTTCAGAGCACAGAGCCCAGCCTCTGGGATGGCCCCCTTCCACTCTGACTTTCTTTTAGCTACCATCACTGCCTTTGTCTGCTCCCGGCCTCAGTGAGAGTGGAGTGGGGTACTCTGGCCAAGCCACTCAAACCCACTCAATGGCAGCCAGAGAATTTTGCTGGCCTTTCACTTTATTATTATTTTTATTTACTTATTTATTTATTTTTTTATTTCTAATACAGGGTCTCACTACACAGATCAGACTCATAGTGATCCTCCTGTTTTCAGCCTCCCAAGCACCCCTTTATTCTGAAGAGGGCCAGGCCAGTCCCCCACTTGGCTTGAAGGGACATTTTCTTTCTGTTACTTGGTCTGTCTGTGCTTCTCACATTTCCCTAATAAATTTTTCAACTTAAAAAAAAAAATGATTGCATGAAAATGGAAAAACTGTGAAAATCAGAAAACACAACATATGATCTTTATATGATGGCACACACCTGTGATCCCCACAGCAGGACTGCCACCAATTTGAGGCCAGCCTGAATTACAAAGTAGGACCCTATCAAATAGAGAACATACTCATAAGTAAAATAAATCAAATGTGCATTTGGAAACAAGAAAAAGGAGTATCTGAAACTACAGCGCAAAATAATAACACGTGCCTTAATTCAAATACAGATAGCAGTCACAGTTTTTTTACATTGTCTATAATTTTCAGTATGTTATAATATTTGAAAATTAAGTAAAATATGATGTTTTCAGGGAGTTGTTTGTTTTTTGAGATGGGGTCTAAGTTGCCCCTCTAATCCTATCTACTTGGGAAGCTGGGGCAGGAGAATCACAAGTTCAGGGCCAGCCTGGACAGCTTATCAAGACCCTATTTCAAAATAAAATTCAAGAAGACTAAAATTTTATTCAATTGGTCATTAGAGTATGACCAATTCAAGGAGGAAGACTTCTGAGGAGGCAGACAGTCACCTACGGGGTCTGACCTGGAAATGCTCAAAGAGGGCAAGGCCTGTGTCCACCGCCCTGACAGAGGACAAGGGGGCTGTTGAGGGCAGTATGGCCAGATACATCCTCCAGACCCCCACTCCCAGAGTGAGAGCAACTCAAGGCCTCCTTCCAGCCATTCCCCCCGCCCCACCTCCTTCACCATAACACCGTGTCCTGAGGGCAGGCTGACAAGGCACCAGTGTGCACACAGGGACGGAGACCACACAGGCAGATGCCACAGGCAGATGCCACTGCTGCCACTCAAGACACAGGCCCAGGTCTCATTCCCAGAGCTACTGACCTCAGGGACTGTTAAGATTGGGATAAAGCATCTGAAGTGTATGTCTAGAAAACAACGCCCACATGTCTAACTTCAAGCTGAAAACCAACACCTTGTCTGAGAAGATACTTACCACTCAAGAGTTCAAAAGCACACAAGAAGGAAGCCCAAAGAAGCTCACTGAGAAGATGCACTGAGCACAGAAGAGCTGACAGGTCACTAAGGACATAAGTGCTTTCTAAAATCCACTGACTGCCACATGCCCATCCAAGATGAGGCCCAGACCATCAGGGGCAGCAAGGTAGGTCATCACGACACAGTCCCAATAATAAAGAAGGCGACAGAAATTATCGCGTCCACAGAGATGGCCTGAGCTCAGGCCAAAGCATGTGAAATCTCTATTTAAAAACAGGCTCAGGCGGGATATAGATCAGCAGCACCTGCCTGGTGAGTGTGAGGTTGTGAGTTTGGTTTCCTGTACCAAAAAAGAAAAAAAAAAAATCAAAGAAAAGAAAGAAGGCTTAGCTGAGTGGCAGCATCTGTGTCATAATCTGGAGTTCAGTCATAAAAACATAATCATAAATAACATTTGTATCGGATTTTCAGTTTCTCTGAAGAACCAAAGTCTCACCTGTACCAGAAGTATTGGCGTAAAAATAATAAACGATCTGCAATAAAAAGAAACAAAGCCAAATATAAATCATTTGTCCTATAAGAATCATTTTCAATTTGGTATGAAGAGAAAAAATCTACAATACACTGCAGACAGTGTCATTAAAATGAGAACAACCTAATATTCACAACACAGCCTTCACCAGGTCACGTATTTGTTTAAATTAATTCTAAGTTTATGTTAATCAGAATTTTTGAACTATTTCCTAAATATGAAAAAGTAAAAGTGGCTAGAGATATGAAATTTAATCCAAAGAAACTATATGGTTTTTTCCTGAAACCACAGTAATTACCTTTAAAACTAAATTTGCATAGGCCAGCAAGACAGCTCAGCAGTGTAAAGCACCTGCTTAGGCAAGCTTAGGCAGGTGCAGGGGACCACGGTTCCATCTCCGACACCACATGCCATGCCAGCCCCACCCTCAGGGCGGGCTGAGCTGGCCAAAAATAACCTAACTAAATTTGCATAAAAACTAAACCAAAATACCAATTTACACTTTATTGTAAAGACATAACAATAATACTAAAAATAAGAAAGTAAGTCTCTAACACACTCAAAAAACAATGCTGTGGGGCTGGAGGAACTCAGCGGCAGAGCACCTGCCAAGTGTGCACCAGGCCTTGGTTCGATCTTGAGAACCACAAGCCGACAACAACACCACTTCACGTGATCCTGTACCGGTAGGTATACGCTGTGTATCAGCCAGGCGTGCAGCAACAAAAAAGTCCCAAGTACAACAGACTGTCTGTAGGTTGTAAAATGAGGAAAAATAATCCTAATTCATGGTTACCTGTATTTTCTAAATTTCCTTTTTTCAATGTATTTAGTACAGGGTCTCACTAAACAGATCAGACTCATGGCGATCCTCCTGTTGTCAGCCTCCCAAGTGTTGGGATTACAGGCGCGCACCACCAAGATCAAAGCCCAGTCCCTGTGTCTGCCTAAACAGGCACTTTAATCTGCTGAGCTGACTGGCCCTCTAAATTTTCTATAATGAATTTTTATTACTTCTATTTTCTAAAGGTTTCAACTTTAAAAGCATTTGTGATCATAAAAATAGAATATGCTAGCTCTAACACCCATAATGGTTAAACTTCTATACAAAGGCTCTAAACTGCTTTAAACATATATGTACATGAAAACCCAATGCATACATGTTTGTTTATATAAAATTAAACTGAGACAACATGTACATGACTTCATTAGGCTCCACGAGAAGTCCAAAGAACACATTTCATGTCTCTTGTTTTCTTTTATTATCTTTTTTTTGCAAACATTTACTTTAAAGAGAGTATAGCATAATTGATATGAAGTATTGATAGAAGCAATACTCATTTAGAAAATTAAAATGACAGGTATTTCAAGCATGGTTTTAGTATTACACATTGCTATCTTCAGTGTAGTTGCCAAAGAACACATTTCAAAATCGCTAAACTTTCTAAAATAACATAGTTATGAATGAATGTAGAGAAAGTGTCAACTACATTAGAAAAAGAAGGGATATTTACCTCTGATAGCTTTTGTGATGATAAATGATGCCCCATGCTTTCGGTTACCTCGAGGCTACAATTTAAAAAAGAATACATTTGATAATTTTATAATAACACTAATGCACACTTGCTAATCCTCAGAAAATTAGGTAGAATGTACCAGTAGTTTAAAATCACTTATAGACCCAAAAAAAAAAAAAAAAAAAAAAAAGAAAGCTCTTGAAACCCAAATCATTCTATCTTCGGCCAG